TTTCAAAAGACTTGAATTTTTCCCCGTTAGATAATTTTGCAGAGATCTGAACAGGTAATAATCAGAGGGTGCAATGTCAGGTGAATACGGGGGGTGACTAAGGATTTCCCATCCTAACGCATTCAGTTTTTGTAGTGTCACCACTGCAGTATGCGGGCGAGCATTATCGTGATGGAACACTATTCCTTTTCTGGACGCTAATGCTGGTCTTTTTTCTTTGATAGCTGCATTCAATTTATCCAGCTGATTGCAGTACAGATCCCGCGTTGATGTTTTTTCCCTGTTTCAGCAACTCGTAATACACTGGACCTTTCCTGTCCCACCACAACAAAGCAGTACTTTTCGTTCATGGATACTTGGTTTGGAACTGTTGCTGATAATGTTCCTGGTTTGGCAGTAAGATTTTTTTCTTTTAATATTCTCGTAAAGAATCCACTTTTCATCTCCAGTAACCAGCCTGTCCAAAAACGGCTCCACATTGTGTCTAATCAGATGTGATGAACATATCTTACACGATCAGACAAATTCTTTTCGTTACTTCATGTGGAACCCAAACACTTTGCTTTAAACAAAACCCAAGAGATTTAATGTGATCTCCAACAGTTGTATGATGAATGCCAAACTCTTCTGCAATTTTCTCGACTTGTTAAATGTGGATTATTTTCCAACATGGATCGCAAAACATCATTATCGATCTTGGATGGTCGTCCAGATCGAACACTTTCTTTGAGGCTCAGGTCCCCCGACGAATTTGCTAAACCATGTTGACAAGTACGAAACATTTACAATATCTTTTTCCAAATACCGCACATAAATTTTTACATGCAACAGATGCGTTGCTTCCTTTTTGGAATTCATATAAAATGCAGTGTCATAAATGCACTTGTTTTCCCTTTGTTTTCCACAGGTTTTCCCTTTAAATATTACAAGTAAATGATGACGGTAAAAAGGGCACCTTTATATTAACACAGCAGCAAAAAAAAAACAAACAAAGAAAAAAAAAATATCGATTGACTCACTAGCCAGATGTTTTTTTTTTATTTACAAGAAAAATCACCTGCCTATTTAAAATAGGACAGAACTTTCCCTCTAACCCGATAATTTCCGAATATTTAAAAGCATTTTATTGTTTAATTTTAAGAATAATAAAACCTTTCCGACATGAAATTTTAACACAACTTTAAGAAAAATATTTCTCCAAAGTTTCAATCCAATTTAATGGCAAAATTTTGTGGAAGGGGGGATATCTCTTAAGAAAAGAACAAAGGTTTTTTTCAAAACCTTGATAAATAAAGGCAAGGTACTGTATTTGCATTTGTAGTTGTTGGTACTTCACAGAAAAATTATTTAATTAGAACGGGAAAAATCATGAGTTTAAGGCTAATCTGATTATTTCTTCTCTCCCCCCTTTTTTAATTTCATTGAATCTCCCAACCTTAGAAAGTCCTCCACGAAGGCATCCCTCCTCTTAGGCAGATAGCCCTCGAGGCTTTGCCATAATCACACACACATTAAATCTCCCAAACCTCTCGTTTCGTTTCGTGCAATCGACAATTAGAATATCTCAATTTCTGTTAAAATTTTACTTTCCTATGAAAAACTGATTGATTAAAAAATTATATTATCGTGATTTGTAGATAATACTAGCGTAATCGTGGATGATTTAAAACATTTCTGAAGTTTTCCAGTTTTACTTCCTTTGTTTCTATTTTCTTACCCTGGTATGACAAGTCTTTGTTTACTTTTTCTTTATTCTCTTTATTTTGCTTACTTAGGAAATGAATCGTCGTATTTAATATATATGAATCATATACTAAGAGAAGCAAATCACCACACAACTTTTCTTTTAAAGCTTCATTTAACTTCTGTATTCTAAACACAAATGGAGAATTAAGTAATAAATTTTGTAACCATTCGAACTCTTAAATGATTGATCGGATTGAAGATAATGTAAGGGGAAAAGGCAAATATTTAAATGCCTGTCTGCTATGTCCGGATGTTTCCGTATCTCATTTCATGATTTATCTTTCCGTTGTTCTAGGATTTTACTATTCATTTGGGATTTTTCATATTTATTTTCGGGTTTCCTATTACCTCAACTTTTAATTTTTTTTTATGTGCTATCTCACTTATGGGTTTATCCGAGTGGAAGATTGTCCCCATTTCCTTAATGTATCCTTCCTTCTTCCTTCCGTTTCTGATCTTCCTCTTTGATTTAAAGGTGGCCTTTGATGCCTACGTTTCCCTAATTCATATCACCTTTCCTCTGCAGTTTTTATATAAATTAAAGCACTTAATGCTATCAAAATGTAAAATTTTTTAAAGTGCATTACAGTTCTAAAAGAACAAAGCAGTCAGTTTGATATTATTCCCCTTTAGCAAGATGCCATAAACAATTTTCGGTATTTAAAAATTAATGAATAAGTAAAGAAAGAAAGAATTTTTCGAAGAAGGAATGAAATGAAGAAGCATTTAAAGAGAAAGGTATTTAACTTTCAGTAACTTGGGTAATAAACTAATTACACTAATTTTTATTTTTGCATGAAAAATAATTCAGAACTGTCATGTTTTTGCATGAAATAATATCACAAAGTTTACTTGGACACACAAATATCAGAAGGCATTTATGTCAGCTTCAAAATACAGAAATACATTAGAGTTAGACCCCCTTCCATACGTAATTATCATCATCAACCCTTATTTCTTGAGTGATTTGGTCACTTGGGTGAGTACCCGTACATTGTAAAATAACTTTTGTGACGTCTATTATAAGCTTTTCTGATTTCGTATGCCCAGAAAGCTTACTCCAGAAAATGATATAAGTTAGCAAACTTCGAAAAGGAGATAATGGGGGGAGGGGGAACATGTAAATTGAAACTGTGAAATTTAATTTGTTTCGAAACGAATTATTGTTCTGTAATTGTTTCCTTCCTACTATATAGCAATTTTTGACTGGTTGACAGATGGCGAGTGACGTAACAGCGATCTTATAAGGTTCATGGATTTATAGCGATTATCATTATACCAAAAAGGTCATCTAGATGCATTTACATCATATTTTGGATGCTTTGTATTTTCTTATTTTATCCAGGCTGTGACTGGATTGTCACAGAGTTCAGTATCATTTATTCCCCAACATACATATTTTATCTTTGCTTTTGCCTTGGTTATCTCTCAGTTCCGATATTTAGTGATAAACGGTCGCTCCCTTTTCCTCCTATCTCGTCTGACATTGTGACAATATCAAGTGATGGGTCCAGTGCTATATTATTGGTGAAAGAATCAGTGCTATTACCCCATAATCCTGAAAATTACCTTGATTGGCCTTAGGACAATAAACTAAATCGACTAGTAAAAACTCGCAGCAGGCAAAATAGTTGTATCAAAATAATGATCCTTGATCTATGATCCGTGAATACTTCACAGAAAAGCGCGATACTCACGATATAATTAAAAAACCAAATGCTGTTTCAAATTCATGTTACTTGTCATGAAATTTGAATTTAGATATTCCTTTTTCCTCAAGAAACAAGGCTCTTCCTTTTCCCGTTTTCCTCATTAATTATTCTCTTCTCGTACATCTCATAGGACTTTCCGTCAGATCACACACCATAAGGATCCTTTATTACTTAACCTAAGGCAACAAGAAAAGCTGCAATGCATCATATCATGGTTATATCAGTTGGATTTGATCGGAAACATCTCAGATTCGATGATCATTTGATTGCATTTTAACAACATTGTAATTATGTGCTATAGTTAGTATTCATTAAAATGCCAGTTGAAACTTGAGTAAACACCCTACATTCTCATTATTAAAGATTTCAATAAATAAATAAAACGTTGAGCTGGCTGTTGTGACTTATCTCACTTCTGTGACAGTAACATCAGAAAACGTCCATGTATTTTACTGCAGTAAAACAGCGCAGGATTGCATCTGTCGTTGGCATGGGCATTGGACACCTCATAGGTGACAGTAGACTTTGTCCTGTTCTACTTCAGTTTTGAAGGAGGATTCCTCTTGGAATAGATTTTTGGCAAGCCATTTATTTTGAATGCCCTTATACACTCCTCTCAAAAACATTATACAAAGGAATAGACCTTCTTTGATTATACGCTAATAAACATCTAAGTCTTTCTGGAATTCGAGATTCATATGTCAGCCACCATCGCTAACAACTATACCAGCCAGGGCAGCTTACCTTTTAATCCGTTATATATTTTTTGATTCACAAGTATAAAATAATTTCAGACTGTGGACAGTTTCCACACAATTGACTTTTAAATAGCCTAAGTTGTACATTTGGACTTCAAGGAGTGGTTTCTATTATTTTATGCTCTTGTTAATTTCTGTAAACCGTTAATAAGAGAAATAAAGTCATTATTTCTCTTGTTACTAGATCAATAATTAATTAGTTTCTAGATCAATAATTAATATATTATCTTAGGATAGATGATTGTGAACTAGAGTTATTTAGCAAAATACAGTGTGCTTCAACAGTCTCTACTCCAGTTCCTCGAACTGCTTATCGGTATTCTAAACTTAATAAAATTCAATTTTTTTCGCACTGTTTCCTTGATTTAAATGATATAAAAATATAACACAGGACTACATCTGTTTTTAATGAGCTTTTAGATTACTGTAGCTTAACTCATTGTATAAAATTAATGCTGAAATGTATTTTCCTTTGCCATTTTTCTTTTCTTTTGTAAAAGTAAAACTACGCTCTATATTTATTTAGTTAGTTATTTAAATTAAACTACGCTCTATATATTTATTTATTTATTTGTTCTATTTATTAAAAAAATTGTCCTCATGAAAACACTTTAGCTTGATATTTCTTTCCCAGAAAGAATTATTCTTTTTAGTTTTATCTTTATTAAAATGTCATTTTTCGTCTTTATATGCCAACGAAAAAAAAATTTGATTTCTAAAAGTTTTTTGTTTTATATATTTTTGAAGTTTGAAACTGAATTACGAATGTTATTTCTTTTTTTAGAAGAATGAATCGCTGGGGAGCATGTTTGCCTCTTCTTTTGGTCTGTTTCGATGTAGCTTCGTCAGTCAGACCGTATTTCACTGCAGCAGTGTTTGAACACGCTCGCCAATCGAATGTAACTGAAGACACGCCTGCGGTTATAATATCCAAGAACTTGGCATTCTATCAGAAAGCAACAGAAGTAGCCAAGACGAAGGTAAATGCAATAAAATATACGAACAGAGCAACCTCGAGATTCGAGTTTAATTCGTTCCAGCAATGACCTCGTATAGCGAATTCCTCGTATCTAAAACAAACTTCCCCATTGAAAATAATGGAAATCCAGTTAATCCATTCCGCATCGCCAAAATATCAACATAAAAATCAATGTTTCCAATAAATTACACTGGTCAATAACAGGGGCGTAGCTAGGCTTTTCAGCGCCCGGGGACAAGTGAAGATTTTGCGCCCCCCTCTGTGTGCCAGGAATGGAAAACATTTCATTTTAAAATTTCTTAATTACAATTTGGCGCCCTCTCGATGCTGCGCCTGGAGACAGATGTCCCTCCCTTGGCCCCATCCTAGCTACGCCACTCGTCAATAATATAACCGTAGTTTACCGTTATCATATCTTCCTACACCGAATCTTTTTAAAAATGTTTCTTGTTAATCCACACCAACAACAGCTTCTCAACATCTTCTAAGAGTTTTAGGCTGTGCTTGCCAGTAATGGTAACTCCTTTGGCCACATCAAGTTTTTTAATTTCTTCCTTCTTCTTCAGAATAGTGCAGATCGTCAATGTCCAAGTTCAGGGTGCTGAGTCCTAATGCAAAAGCAGGGATGAAAGTCTTTCTAAACGAAGCGCTTAAAAACCGCCATCGTCTTCAAGATCAACAAGTCGTCTACGATATCTTTTTACTTCAGATTTCAACTTTGTGGAAAGAAAAAAGGTGGAACGGTGCGAGATCTGGATTGTAGAGCAGATACGGAAGTTTTTATTTCATTTATTTATTTTGGCCAAATATTCAGTTACCAAGAGTGCGCGTTAGTACGTTGTAACATCTAATCTCTCGTTGTCAAATCTAACCTTGAATGGCACTAGGCACACGAACATTCAAAATTCAAATTTGCGACGGGGGCAGCTTCCCTCTCATTGTCTTCGACCATATTTGAGAAACGAGTAGCCCCTTCATACATACGTACCTGTATTAATCAACGTACAACCGTTCACACCACGCAGTTTATAAAAAAATTTCAAACGGGTTTTGCTACGTTTTTAACGGAAAACTTCATAACAATTCTCTGCTAGATTTTTTATCAGCTATTTCCGCGACTAGCATCATAGAGGTATCAGCTTTTATGAATCTCTAATAAAGATGTTTTAAACCAGAGGGAAATTCCTTCTTGGCGGGGAATTCATAAGTTTAGAGGATATGCGGTCATTTAACTGTTAAATTACCTGAGAATTAGCTGTTAAATGTTTAATTTTAGTTTGTGAAAATAAAAAACTAATTTTATTCAAATTTTGGTATTTTTCAACATTTTCTACACTCTTTTTTAATCTATAAAACACGTTAAAAATAATTTAAATAAATGTATGCATGTATTTGGGAAAGGAGGGCAATAACCTTCTAGCAATAGTGAAAGGGGTGTATGCGTTAAAAAGGCTTGAGAACCACTGCTGTACTACCCCCCTCCCACCGATTGCAACTCTCGCTCAGGCATACATTGCCGATGCCACTATATTTTATAGGTGTTAATCATGTGGATCGTAGAAGCAGGTAAATAACAACGAGATTTTGAATTGTCATGCGGAATTAAAATGAGAAAAAGTAGTTTTTACTCTATAACTGTAATATTCAAAGAAATCATCACGAGATTTCAACAGCTGCATACCCTTGTTATAATTTTTTTATTCTGTCGAAACTCTTGAATAAAAATTACGAATGTTAACTAAAGCTTGATTACAATGACATTCATAAGAACAAAATTCCTCATTAAGAGAGAAGTGTTTCAGAGTTTTATTTATTTATTTTTTATGGCTAGAGGAAACGAAACATGGAAGTGCGGTCCTTTACAAGATTCGCAGTATATTCTAGAATGCAGTCTCAAGAATAAAGTTCCAAACATTGTAAGACTATTGCGGACTTTCCTCACAATTGCTGCAAGTGCTAGTTATAGCAAGAGTTTTCTAAATAAAAATCATTTAAAGAGTATATATGAACTATAAATGTTTATTTTGTATTTAAGAAATTTTCCTATATCAAGTAGTTCTCCACCTTTTTCGCCCCACGCAATCCTTTCACCCTTGCTATACAATCGTCTCCCCTTCCTTTCCCAAATTCGAGAAATTCATATACATTTATTTAAATTTAGATTTTTTTAATATTTTGTATAAATTAAATAAGAAAAAGTGTAGGGAATGTTGATAAATACCAAAACATTGAGTAAATGTAGTTTTTTATATTCATAAACAGAAATTAAATCCTTGATAATAGGAGGAAAAAAGGCTCATAGACAATCTTAACTAGGGGGAATTCCGATTCCCTAGTTGAGAGGCACTGTTTCATACTGGCTATGTTACAGCAGCTGAGGCTATCCAGTAGACTTTATCGATAATTTTGCAATCACTCACATTATAATAATAATGTAATTTTAAATTGTTGAAATTAAAATTTTTCTTCAAAAATAAACATAGCGTTTAAATTTTCATATTGACATTTTTGGAGTTATTTGTTTCTGTATCAGCAGGGACGGTAAATTTAGGGACTGACTTAAGCGCCAAACTCAAGGACCGCACCGGCTGACAAAAACTCTAGCCAAAGAATTCTTTGCTCTAGCTACGTTACTGCTGCCTCTATAGAATAGATTATGAGACCTTTGTCTAGAATAAGGATCAAAATAATGATCGTTTCACCAACGCTGAAAAGGAAATCCGGGAAACCATTGGATATTATCGTGAAATGTATGAAGGAAAAAAACAAAAGGACAATAAGAACTAATTTAACGACCTCCCCACACTAAAAGAGAGGTGTAAATGAAGAAATTTTCTGATTGAAGAAACTACTGCCGGCTGCAATGAATCACCCAAATAAGTAAATAAATATCCACTTGTTATTTTTAATTACAAACATCGGTTATATATGCGTTTTTATTCACATTTACCAATTTAAAAGAAGAATATTGTTAATTTTGATATATGTATGTAAACATACAAATAAATTTCTTATAAGTATTACATAAATCTGTATTGTCTTAAAGTTATATTTTACTGAAAAATGAATTTTAAATAAAAGCTTAATTTATAAGCAGTCATGGTGTAATGGTCAGCACACTCGGCACGTATTCTAGAGGTCTGTGGTTCTTGTCCCGGCGAGAGCATTGCTCATTTTCTACATCTCCTGCTTCGAAATAACGTCATGTCTTTACAGTGTTGTCCGAACTAAAAGGGTGGTGGATGATGATTCTCCACCACCAGGATTTGACGACCAGGTCCCCTAATCCCCAGTCGCCCTCTAAAAGCGAGAATATATAAGGTATTTCTACCGCTTTCGTGGTCAGCACACTCGGCGCGTATTCGAGAGGTCCGTGGTTCGAGTCCCGGCGAAGGCATTGCTCATTTTTCACGTCTTCTACTTAAAATGTGTCTAATATCTCTACAAGCTAAGTCCCCGATTTACATCCGAATTGACTTGCAACTTCTTTGGAGCGACACTGATCGTTAAGTAGAAGACTGCCTATCCGTCTTCTGGGACCCTATTATAAGCAGTGGTATTTTACTTTCAAGAAATAGTTAGCTGTAAAGTAAACAGCATTATTTGTCCATTTTTTTAAAATTTATTATTTATATCCTACTTCCTTTATTACTTAGAAGGATTTCGCTGCTACGTAGAGAATAAATTGCTTCATTTCGGTTACCTCATGAGATTAATGCTCCTTTAAGTTGCAAAAATACAGCTATTCCATACAACATGCAATTCTTGTTTTACGGTTATATATAATTGAAAGAAAAAACATGAAAACTGTACATGAATAAGAGTGGATGTAATTGCGTAACTAGAAGTTTTGCTGCCCGAGCTATCTCTCACTTTGCCGCCCTTTTCCGTACATAAACAAAGAAATGAAAAATGTCAAAATGACAAATTGGGAAATGAATTAAAACTGTACTTTTATTCTTTAAGTAAAACTTAATTCCAACATCTTAAGATTATATTATTGTGTTCCTTGTTTTTCTGTTCGCGAAACAATCGAAGACATTATGAAGGTCTGCTTCATTGCTGTAGTTCTTGCTGTGTTACGAAACACTGGTTCTCAACCGTTTTTGTCCTATGCACCTTTCACCACTGCTAGATGATTATTCCTCTCTCTTTTCCAAAAACTCGTAAAATAAATATATATATATTTAAATTTAGCTTACTTGTAATGTGTTTTATAAATTAAACAAGAAAAAGTATAGAAAACATTGATAAGTACTAAAAACTCGAAATTAAAGTACTTTTTCTAAACTCAAAAAGTACGCCTTCGCTCAGTTCCGCCTCCAATTTTGATGGAGAGCACCCGGGGGGACGGGTCCGAGGGCCTCCCAAACCTCTTCCTCCACCATCAACCTCTCGAGAGGACTTTCGTCTCACCACACGTTTAGAGTGCCCCATGCCACACGGACACTATACATTTACAAACATCCTTGCCTTTTCCGCGACTCGAACCCGGGATTTTCGGTACCGCAGTAGGCTTCCCTTACCTAACCCCCGGGGGTCGACGTACGGAACTCCGCGAAGCTACTGACTAGGATCTGTACCTAGGCAGTCTCGGCCACGGAGGTATAAAATTTATGAACTTGGTGGTTCTGAAGGCCCTGGGAATGGTCATTTATTGACCGGCCTCGGGGTCTGGCACGTCCTAACGCGGCGTGGTTCTAGTAGCCCGGGGCGGGGGTAGCGTCCCCGGGTTCGCTGGGTAATGTCCCGCTGCGACGGGCAGCCCGAGTGACAAACGACCAGTGCTGCCTGGCAAAAAGCCAGGTAGTGCGCCGCTCTCCTGGAGGGGCAATAGCGGAGGTTGAATCTCTGCGACTTGTCTTAAAGGAAGAGGGACCTGTAATCAAAGAATCTCTAAGGAGAAGAATGAAAGCTTCCATAGACGCAATGTAATCCTGTTTCGCCTCTGCGCCGCTGTACCGAAGAGCCACGGCTATGCAGTGAAACACCAGCGCAGGGTTAAATTTAAACAGCGAGCAGTGAAACACCAGCGCAGGGTTAAATTTAAAACAGAGCAGTTCGAGGAGATAGTACATTTTTTACTTTACTTTGAAATAACTCAAAATGTTTTTATTTTCATACATTTCTGGAGTTTTGTGAGCAAAAGGATGTTAGTTGGAATTTTGGGGCGAATTATAGAAATCCTGTCCAATTTTTACTTTCAATTTAACAGCGAGCCGTACGAAGACAAAATTTAAATGAAATAAATTTCTTAATTCTTTTCTTCTGTAAACTTAAAAAGGGGGGAAAAACACATGCCATACGAAACGTAATAAATTTTTATGGATCCATAGTTAAAATTTTACAGTGAAATTTTAAAAGGCAAAAATTTGCAATAACTAACTGAAACAGAAAAAAATATTTAAAGACAATTAAAGGCACCCCTAAATAAATTGAAAACACTGAAATACATTATAATTATCCAACAACAACTTTAAAAACAAATTACCATGAAAACGTTTAGACAATTATTTGGAATGACCATTGTGAAAACCAAGAGCAAAGTTTTCACCCAATAGCCAAAACCATTTCATTTACGCATTACATTTAAAAAGTCTTTAAAAGAATTTAACATAGCTAAAACCAAGTACCTCTGACTACAACAACAAAGAAAGTTTTCGAACAACGTGGTAAAAGATTGCTAACATGGCCGACGGCATGCTGCATTCTTTGATTGTTGCTTTTTTGGCCTCCTTGGATGTTATTTCGCACATGCGCAGTGAGGTACGGACGGTGGATAGCTTTTGGAATGGTTTGCCCCTTTAAAGTAAACTTCAGGGATATACATAATGTGTCTCTTCGGTCTGACGGAGCCACATTTGCCCCGGGGAACCTTTACTTCTTCTCCTTAGAGATTCTTTGCTGTAATGTTGTTAAGTCTAACGAGGCAGGATAGCCAGTAATTAGTTAGTTCCCTTACCTAATGCTTAACAAGTAAATAAAAGGCTGACCACATCCCCCGCTGAAACTGTGAAACTACTTGGTTGAGAATCCCTGGTATAGAAAGATTTCTGAAGTACAAAATATATTTCTGGAAGTCTTAAATACTTAGTAAATGATTTTTATTTAGAAAACTTTTCTCACAGATAGCAGAACTAGTAGTAATTGTGAGGGAACTTCATAGTAAGTAATGCAATATTTAGAACGTTTTTCTGCTTATTGTATTTTAGAATAAACTTCAAAGTTGTAAAAGGACTGCCCCCTCCTCTATATCCCTGCTTCATTTTCATAGCAATAACGGAAATTAAGCTCTGAAATATTCCTTTTTAACGATTAATTCTTGCTTATTAATATAATGATCACAAGTTATTTAAAAAGTATTCGTATTTTTCATTCAAAAGTTTCGACGGAACAAAGAAGTTATAATAAGAGTAACTGTTGAAAATTTTTAGTGATATCTTTGAATACTTTATTTAATGCAAAAGCAAATTTTCCTCTCATTTTAATTTCATGCGCCAGTTAAAGACCTCTTTATTATTATTATTTTTTTTGTCTCAATTATCCGCACGACTAAATTTTACGTTGTTATTATTAATCTCACTTGTCTGACGTAATCAAACCAAATCCACGAATTTTACAATGGCAACGAGGTCAGGATTACATCTGTCGTTGACATGGGCCTTGAGCACTATATTGGTGACAGTACGACTTACACCAATTACCGCCCCAGCTTTGAGTGACAGCACCCCGGCGGACGGATTTAAGGTCTTTCTCTCATCCTCTACCACCAAACCACTCGAGAAGACTTTCAGGTAGCCAGTTTTTTTGAGTGGCCCCATGCCACATAGACGCTGCTTTTTTAAAATGACTTCATAAGAAAAAGAACCTTTTTTACTTGAAAGAAGTGGTCATAAGCCAAGGACATAATTACTGGAACTTTTTAGTTGGTAGTTATAAGCCGATGACATAACTACCTAAAAATTCGTATAAAACAAGGTTATTTTGGCGTAGTTTATTATTGCTTCATTAAACTGTAATGAAAAAAAAAAAAAAAAAGATTTTTATTCTCAGTATTCATTTACTATTTTATGTAAGAATGGAATTCTCATAATTGGGACTGCAGATTGGACGGATTACTGAATTTTTCAGATTATAAGACACGTTTTCTTGAGTTTTGTTTTCATTTCTGTCTTTTACACTAAATCTGGATTACTTGTATATCAATAAGTAAATAAAATAAATTCATTTATACCTTATTTTAACACCACGAAAGGCATGCTGGAAGAGGGAGAAGTACTTATATACTCTCCTTTTCAAAGGGCGACTGGGGACCAATCGCCAAACCCTGGTGATGACGAATTATTGTCCACTACCTTTTAGTTCGGGCGCCATTTGTAGAGTTATTGATTATTTTGAAGCAGGAGACATGACAAATGAGCAATGTCTGAATATGTCAGACAAATGAGAACAACAATGAGAGCTCGTCATCATAATGAGCTTGCTCTTGAACATTGTGCTTAAATACTAGAACAACTAGTTTAATCGTGATAAAAGCCGATGAAAGTAGAAGTAAAAATATCTAAAAAGTGAGATAATTGATTAACTAACATAAAAGGCTTAGATAGATAATTAAAAAAATTCATTGAGTAATTACTGTCGGTTTTTATACTGAGAAAAATGTTTTAAAGAACTTAAAATAATTTAAAGCACATTTAGAGATATTTTATTTTAAATTCCATGTTAAGAGTTATAAATAAAGTTACGTAGATTCATAAACTTAATCTGATTTTCTTTCTTTTCAGGGAGTTGACATTATAGTCTTCCCAGAATATGGGATATTTCCTCCTCTGGAACGAAAAGAGTTGAAACCATATTTAGAAGTGATTCCAGATCCGAAAAATATTAACGTCAATCCTTGTAATGAAAGGCAAACATATCAGAATCGCCCTATTCTTTACGCTTTAAGTTGCATGGCTCAGCAGAATGAAATTGTTGTAGTGGCAAATATGGGAGGTATCCAGTCTTGTGAAGGAGAGAATGAATGCCCTGCGGATGGGTCTTTTCATTTGAATACTAACGTCGTTTTTGATAAAAATGGCACAATGCTTTTGCGGTATTATAAGGAACATCTATTCTATGAATTCGGTATGGATCTGCCACGAGAACCACAAGATTCTGTATTTACGACGGATTTTGGAACTTTCGCCACTTTCATTTGTTTCGACTTCGAATTTTCAAAAATGACTGAAGTAGCTCAACGGGAAGACTTAGAGGTAGATGCAGTTGCTTTCTCTACAATGTGGGTAGATGCTGCTCTTCAAAGGTCATCTGTGCAAGCTTGGGAATCATGGTCCCTGGGAAACAATGCTACACTTTTAGCGGCAAATATTCAACTCCCAGGTTATTTAGCAGTGGGTAGTGGGATATTTAATGGAGCTGATGGTCCTTTGGCTTATACCTTCGATCCAGATGGTGTATCAAAATTGGTTGTCGCCACGGTTCCGAGAAGAGGTTATAGCTCTACCTTATCTTCACCAAATGCTAGTATTATTAAGATCACTTTGAATAGTACCGAAGAATCACATAATGACGGATCCAGTGTCCCTACGGTGTGCTCTTTGAAAGTTTTAGGCGATGCAAAGGACGTTTACAAAGATTACAGATGCCACGAATTAAGTACGTCAAATTATTCCTTCGTCAAGCTAATAGATGATAGCGATCATATTAAAGCATGTATTAATGGCGTATGTTGCTCTCTTAAATATACTTCTGATGGCATGAGGGAAAATTTTTATTTAGTAGTATACAATGGTACAATTGATTACTATACTCGCTATTCGTTTTGCGAGCAGACTTGCATGGTGGTAAGATGCGAACCCAACGGAACAAATCCTTGCGCATCTTTCCCTTTGAGGTCCGAAACTTTGTTCTACAGTGTCCAGCTAACAGCTGACTTTTCTGCTAAACATATATATCCAGCCGTTGTAAATAGTGGCATGAGGTTAACTCCTCTGAATAAATGGAATCATGGTATTGAGAAAACATCATCTGATGTTTATAAAGGCTACATTGATTTCAAAAGCCCTTCTGGAGAAGCGTTGCTTTCTGCTGGTTTAAGAGGCCGTTGCTATGATCGAGATCCTCCATATGAGCGTTAAAATAGTATTTTGTTACAATTTCTGTATTACAAATTTCAATGCTCTTTTTATAATTTTTGTGAAATAAATAAAAATAAAATTTAAATTGTCTTTTGAATTTTCCTCTTCATTGCCATGTTCACTGACTTCGCTGACCAAGATATGGAACAATGGCTCATAAATTATATGATTTAGAAAATTTCCTGAATCTGCATCAGGTATGCAAGATATTCGGTGTACAATTAATTTCTTGACTTTTTTAACAACTTGAATGAATTAAAATTGAATTTATGTTCTAATATTTTATGAAACTATATCGTCACTAACTAAATCGGTTGATGAAAATCACGTCTTCCCCTTCAAATATCATAATTTAATTTTACTAAATTTTTGGAGAAAAATACATCAAATGTTAAAACATGTTATGAAATTTTTAAGTTGAATACTTTATGCACAAATCACATTTCTATCTGTTGGATTAATTTTTGCATTAAAGTATCATATTTAACTTGATTAAATAATTTATTTTTTCATATATTACGAAGGACAACCACGACATGTAACATTTTCTGAAAGTCATCTAGCCCACCAACGAACGAGCGGTAAAGACGCTGAACACGGGTAGTTCGGTCTGAGGTTCGAATCCCGCGAAAGAGCTGGCTGGATGGGCGTTTTCGTGGTTTTCCCCGTGTGTAATGTGTATACGAGCCAGTTTCCCTTAGAAGTCCTCCACAAAGGCATCCCTCCGTTTAGACAGATAGCCCTCGTGTGCTTTGCCATAACTGAATAATCCTAATCCTGAAAGTCATCTAAGAAGGTAAAATGTATTCAAGTAAGTATTTTTTTACACCTTTTTAGAATTAAATGAGAATGATACATAACGAAATGATTCTAAAAAAAAGAGAAGATTAAAAAAAGGTCCATAAAGGAAAAAAAATACGTGCAATTGAATCCAGTTAAATGATTTGCTGACGAAAGGTTCTGTAAAGCATTTTCGATATACAGTTAGATCTCAGTTTAGCATTTATTAAATCCCTGAAGAAAATTATCTTAAAATCCGCGGTATCTTTAAATCGAAAACTCTTTTGTTGCATAATCGAGAAAATATTGTTAAGAATTTTATTATTACTATTTTTTTATTATTATTGTCTATTTTTCAAAAGTGTGTTTTTGTTTTATTATTGTGTGAAGTTGTAACTATATGTCTTTTCTTGTGTGGCAACAACGCTTCTGTAATTCTTCAATTTGAACTTTTGGATGTGTGCCAAGTTTGATGGCGTAATGCTCTGGTGAGAGCGTCGATTGATTGTGTAGATGAAACATGTTGTTTCAGAACGTTATTTCTTTAAAATATGTAAAATAAATGTTTTGTTTTCTGAACTCGGATTATGCAAACGTTATTTAGTTTCAACATAAAAGTTTGGCGTCCGTTTGACAGGACGTTTGTGTGATTTCGAGTAGTTTTGATTTAGGCGTTTTGTTAAAATGGAGTTGTTAAAGGCAAAACGTAAAAGTGAACGTACTTCGTTTACGTTAACTACGAAGATTGTGGAAGAAGAATTGCCTACTTGTACGGATCCTGAGAGATTGCAAGTGTTGTTGGGGCAACTAATTGACAAATTTGAACGCTTGGACAGTACTCAAAGCAGTGTTTTAGAACAAACCAAGGAAGCTGATTTCGAAAATGAATTTAATACGGCTGAAGGATACAGAGATTCCTTTATAGCTTTAAAGGTGAAACTTCAGAATAAAATTGGACAATTGAATTCGATGAATGTTACTACAGATATTGCTTCAGTTTCGATTTCGGATCCTAAAGAAAATAAAAACAGGAAGTTCAAACTTCCTAAACTTGAACTGAAAAAATTTTCTGGAGATGCAAGAGAATTTTTAGGCTTTTGGAGCCAATTCTCCAAAATTCATGAAGATGCGGATATTGTGCCGGAAGATAAATTTTTGTACTTAGTGCAAAGTGCAGTACCTGGCTCAAAGGCAGCTCAACTTTTGAACAGTTTTCCTGTTACCGCCGCGAATTATCCTAAAGCTATCGAGCAGCTGAAAGAAAGATTTGGTAGAGAAGACCTTCTGGTGCAGATCTATGTAAGAGATTTGCTTGGGCTTGTTACAAAGAATGCTACAACAGGCAGAACGGCGTCGGACTTAGGAGTACTTTATGATAGTATAGAAAGTAAATTACGAGCGCTGGAAAGCTTAGGACGCACCAAGGAAAAGTTTGCTGATTTCTTGGGACCTTTAGTGGAGTCGTGCCTACCTGAGAATATTCTACGTGCCTGGGAGCGGAGTCGAACTTCTGAACAGGGACAGGAAAAGAGTTCTGAAAGAACGCTTGAAAAACTAATGTGTTTTTTAAGGCATGAAGTAGAATCGGAAGAAATGATTAGATTAGCACAATCAGGATTTACTCATTCTGTTAAGCGTCTTAATAAAAATGTTATTTCAGGTAATTCAGATTTAGCAACAGCTGCCGCGCTGGTAAGTACAAATGAAACCAGTAAAGGTAAGCAAAATGTTTGTATATTTTGTGGTAAGCCTCATATGAGTGCTAAGTGTTTTAAAGCTGAAAATATGAGCTTAAATGAAAAGAGGCAACTTGTACAAAAGAAAGGTGTTTGTTTTTCATGTTTAAGAATTGGCCATTTAAAAAACCAATGTAAAGCCAATATTAAATGCCCCATTTGCAGTTGTGATCATATAAAATTTATGTGTCCTCAGAATGTTAGTTCTGTAAAACAAAATGACTCTAAGTTGGATGTTATGTTTTTTTTCTAATAATAAAAGTAAGAGCGAGAAAGTTTATTTGCAAACTTTATGTGTTCTAATTAAAGTTAAAGATCGAGAGAGAAAAATTAGGATTCTCTTGGATTCGGGATCCCAACGATCATACGTTGGGGAGAAAATTATGAAGCGAATGAAAGCTGATCCTATTCGACAGGAGAAAGTAATTCATGGTTTGTTTGGGGGGAGGGAAACTGCGCCTGTAACCCATTCTGTTTTTGCTATTGACATAAGCAGTTTAGATAACACTTTTAGGTGTTGTTTTGAAGCTTTTTCTGAAAAAAAGATATGTGGATTTGTTCCAACAATCAAGAATGCTCAGATTATAGAGGAATTGAAAAGCAGGAATATTGAGGGACAAGAGGATTTAATTCAAAAGGCCAAAAGTCTTATGTCGAGAGGCAGATTTAATTTAAGGGGATGGGAGAGCAATGTTGCTTCCAAATATACTACAAAACATTCTGGGGGCACACCTCTTTTAGGAATATTGTGGAATTTAGACAATGATACTTTAAGGTGTAATATAAATGTAAATATGATAACTTGTGATACTAAGGTAACTAAGAGACTGATTCTGTCTATTGTACAATCAATTTTTGATCCAATTGGAATACTTGCACCAATAACTTTGCTTCCAAAACTTTTGTTACAAGAAACATGGAAGTTGAAATTTTCTTGGGACGAGGTATTGCCTCATGATTTTGTAAGTAAATTTTTTGTGTGGTTATCTGATATACTTTTGTTGAAAAATGTGGCAATACCCCGATTCATTGGAACCTTTGCAACAGTTGAATTGCATGTATTTGTCGATGCCTGCAAATATGCTTATGCAGGATGTATTTTCGCGAGAAGTGTTGATTTCATGCAGTGTAAAAATTACTCTCTTAAGAGCAAAATCTAGAGTAGCTCCTATTAAGAATTTGACGATTCCTAGATTGGAATTAATGTCCTGTGTTGCATTGGATCCCGATTATTATATTCTGTTTGTAAAGCTCTTAATGATTTTGATATAAATGTAACTTTGTGGTGTGATTCCACAGTCGCATTATGGTGGATCAGAAATCCTGGTAATTGGTCAAACTTTGTAAGCAATCGTGTTAAAGAAATTACTAAGTTGACAAAACCTGAATCATGGAGGCATGTGCCTGGTAATATGAACCCAGCAGATGTGTTATCTCGAGGTTGCTCTGCTAAACAAATGATTAACTCGGAGTGGTTTAAGGGACCTCTCTGGCTAAGAGAAAGCCCTGAATTTTGGCCTACCAATATTGTTTGTCAGCCGAGCGAAGCTGACTTGGAAAAGAGGAAGGTAAAACTTATTAATGTTAACTTTTCAGAGGATACCACTCCTTGGTATGCAAAAAGAGTTTCTGATTATGAAAAAATGATTCGTGTAACCGGTTGGGTGTTACGTTTTATTTCTAACTGTAGGAAGAAGTCAAATTTGTGTAAAGAATCTAAACTAACTGTTGCTGAAATCATAAATTCCGAAAAAGTTTTGATTCGGTTGGTTCAAAGCTCAAATTTCCCTGACATTGGAGCTCTTAATCCACTTGATGTATTCATTGATAATGAAAAAATTATAAGAGTTTAAAACTAGAATATTGGAACGCAAAGACAATTCTGAATTTTTAACACCAATTTTGTTACCGAGTAAATGTATCTTTACTACATTGTTAATTGAGTCAGTTCATAAGAAACATTGTCATGCTGGAACTCAAATGCTTCAATCTATTTTAAGAGAAAGATTCTGGATACTAAAACAACGTAAAACTGTGCGTAATGTGTTAAAAGGGTGTGTAATATGTCAACGATATAAAGCGAAACCGATGTCTTGCGAAGTGACTCCTCTTCCTGAAGATCGCGTAGGAGATTATAGGGCTTTTGAAATTTTGGGAGTAGATTTAGCTGGCCCATTGTTTTTGAAAGACGGTAAGAAGGTTTGGATGGCACTCTTCACATGCGCTGTGTACAGGGCAATCCATCTAGAACTGGTGACTTCGTTATCAACAGAATCTTTTCTTTTGGCTTTAAGACGATTCATAGCCAGACGTGGCAGACCACGAACCATTTATTCTGACAATGGGACTAACTTCCGAGGAACGTATAACGAAATGTCTAAACTTAACTGGGACATAATAGAGAATGAGGCAAAAATAAAGAGAATAGTATGGAAATTCAATCCACCAACAGCCTCCTGGTGGGGAGGTTGGTGGGAACGGCTAGTTCGCATGGTTAAAGAACTTTTAAGACGTTCTTTGGGAAAATCGGTTTTATCTTATGAAGAACTGGAAACCTTAATTTGCGATTGTGAG